AAGACAACTGTTTGGCATTTCCCAATACGAAACGTTAAATTATTTTTAACAGATTTAAAGCAAGTTTAAGCTTTGTTGAATCTAATTTGAAGAATAAAATGTTGTATTCAATTCGTTTGAGTGTAAATCGGACGCTTTATTCCACCTCGTGATAAACCACTGGTTACACTTGTGCTTTAAAAATCCACTTGGTCAAATAAAGCGTCCGATTTACACTTAAACTCGTCGAGTAAATAACTATTTTTGTCAATTTGTTTTTCAGTAAGGGGTGGTTTTATTTGAAAAATTTTCAATTTTAGTAGCCTTTATAAAATAGTTTTAAGTTTCATCCCTTAGTCACCCTTACTTTAATAATTTAAAGAACACCCCCAACTTTTTAAACATTTTTGGAAAGGAGCGCAAAAGCTTATTTAACCATAAATTTAGAAAAAAAAATTGTCGAGTTTATTTAATTTTTTTTATTTAAATTAAATTGAGTTCAATCAAAGGCTGCTAGGACTAAAAATTTCAAAAGTAAAACTACCTCTAACTCAAAAACGAATAGACATTTTTTTATTTACGGTTAGATAAGCTTTTTCTGCCTTTACCAAAAATGTTTTAAAAAGTTGGGAGTGCTCTTTAAAATTTTAAAGTAAGGATGGTTGGCGACTAGGGGATAAAACCTAAAACGTACAGGTGCTCCAAAACTCACGCCCCAGAAAAAAATTTCAAGTACGATAAGATACCAGGAACATGGAAAAAATGTTTAAAAATTCTGTCAAAAATTTTTGACATTTATTTTTTGACATTTGACATTTTTTATGTCTATTTAATGATACTGATGATCTTGTCCTATATATTTTTTTACAATTATTTAGTAAAGGTACAAAAATTTTGCCAATAAGAGCTATAAATAACATTAAACAGAGTTACAATTTAGGATACAGCTTTCTTGTTTCCTCTTCTAATAGGCTGTAGCAAAAAAACTTGGGAAATTATTTTTCCAACAGAAATAAATAGAGTTAAAGTGCAAAATTTAAACTCTCATAACTTCGAAATTTTTATAGATAATTTTTTTTTAACCTTTTTTCCATGTTTCCATTACCTTATCTTATATTTTTTTCTCTGCGGGCGAGTTCTGATGGCGCACCCTGTATTTAATGTTGGTTGTGAACTCTCCCATCGCAACCCAAATTGACATATTTTTTATTAAATTAAATTGATTTGAATCATAGGACTACTAGGACTAAAAATTTCTAAAATAAAATCACCCCTAACTGAAAAACGAATCAACAATTTTTTTTTTCTTCGACAATTACGCTCATTTTTCCCTTTCCGAAAATGTTTCAAAATTTGAAAGTAAAGGTGGCTAGCGACTAGGGGATGAACCCTAAAATGTAACTAATGTTGGTTTTGAACACTTCTCTCGCGATCCTAATCGACCTGTTTTTGCTTGAAAATATGTTTAGGTACTCAAGTATTGAGACTGGCTCCTTTTGAAATGAAAACCCTTTATAAATAGAGCTACATCCCCTAAAAGTGGGGCATCTTTTAATGGATTTCTTCTAATATTTCAGAAACCATTGTAGATAAAATTACAAAATTTGGTACAACTGATAACCTTTATACACCCAAACGAATTCAAAGATAAAATGTCGAAATTTTTAGTCAGAAGCGTCCTAGACTATGGGGTTTAGGGTAAAATGTACCCTAACTATTTTAGCTGTTGGTTCTTGCCACTTTCAGCCACAAAATTTTAAATTCCATAGTTTTTCACAAAAAAGAGGTCTCCTGCGTTTTTTCGATACAACTTACCGTTTTTAAGTAAAATCAGTTTATTTTTTTTTACAGACCATAAAGATGATAAAAATTAAAAATTAAATTTGTTTCCCGTTTAAGACGCCCGTGATTAAAAATTTAGACAACTGATCATTGAATTTGTTCAGGTGTTTAAAGGTTATTAGCTGTACCAACTTTTGTAATTTTATATACCTATTCTGCAATAGTGGGAAAACCTCATTAAAAAACGCATCTTTTTCTTACATAACATTTTTTGATACATGTTCATAGGAAACTTTTGTCTTAAAATTGAATATTCTATCACCTGTTTAAATTTGTAACAATAAAAACAAAACATCCTGTATAAAAGGTCACTTAGCGTTATGGAAACATATATACAGGGTACATCAGAACTCGCGGCTCAGAAAAGAAAATTCAAGCAAGATAAGATACCAGGAACGTGGAAAAAATGCTATTTGTCAAAAACTTTTAACATTTTTTTGACATTTCCCAATTTTGTATGTCTATTTAATGACACTAATGATCTTGTATAGATTTTTTTTGTATATAATTATTTAGTAAAAGTACAAAAATTTTGCCAATAAAACCCACAAATAACATTACAATTAGTTACAATTTAGGATACAGCTTTCTTGTTTTTTCTTCTAATATAGTCTGAAGCAAAAAAAATACTTGGAACATTATTTTTCCAACAGAAATAAGTAGAGTCAAAGTGCAAACTCTCATAACTTCAAAATTTTTATATATAGATGGAATTTTTTAACAGTTTATTTATGTTCCTCGTTTCTTACTCTACATGGCGAGTTGTGTTGCACCCTGTATACGATAATCCGTGTTTTAGATGTGGGAGTAGAAAAAAAAATTACTCGTCGAATAAATTTCAATTTAGCATGCAACGACTTTAAATTTTACTAATATGATCTCTAAGGTTAGTTTTTTTAAATTTATTTCATTGTGGTAAATGACCTATAAAATGATGTTAATTTAAATAATAACTCCTACCTCTACTGATAAGAATTTTACAGCCCTTGAGAGAACGGTAATTTTTTTTTTTGTAATAACGTCGGAACCATTTGACCAAATATTATAAAATTTGTTATTACTTGCGAGTATGAAAAACTTTATCTAACCTCTGATGAAAAAACATTAAACAATAAATGCAAAAACTAAACACTATCAAAAAAATAGACTAATATAATTTTAATTAAATTAATTAAAACTCTGCTATTAAAAAAACTATAATACGTTGTTTGTAGCTACAATCTATAGTAAACATCTTTCTAAATATTTTAAATGTCACATTCACATTATGTGGTAGACCGTAACCTCAAATCTAAACTATTATCTATAGTACCTTTTAATTTAAATTGAGAAAAATAGCTTGTAGATTAATAAACAGTCGATGAAAAAATATATTAATAACATAGTTAAAATTACAAAATATACCTAGCAATTTAATAAACATTTTCACATTTTACATAATTAAATAAATTAGTCCAGATAAACATGCATCTGAATGTTAGGAAACAGTAAAAGCAACAATTTGTCAGGCAGATAAAGGTATAATTTTCTAACTTACGCACGATACGTCAGCAAAACTCAAATTAAAAACTTAAAATATAATATTACCCTAAAATGTTAGCAATTGTTTTTGTATTCGACATTAATAAATAAAATACTTTTCATCGTTCTTTCGTCGGACCTCAAAAAACTCCCACGGTTGTTATGGCTCTTAACAGCACATGGTATGTATGTACAGCGTTTTTCGTTCTATTAAATTACCTACTATACTTTAAATAGTTATTTTTGTTACAAGTACCTAAAACACAAAATAACCATATTACGTACTATTTTATTGAGTCCGGAAAAGACTCATTTTAGAGACTAATTTTCAATTTCTGTAAATGTCAATATTTGAACCTTTAAACAGTAAAAGCTGTCAAAAAGCCGGGCGTTAAAGCGAAAGTCGGTCTGTTAAAGTCTCTTAACAGTCCTGTGTGATACTAAGGTGATATTGACAGCTTAACGATTGTAAACTGTTTAATGTTATTTATACCGTAACGATATGGAACGACAAAAATATCTAACTATTACGATTTTATTTATCTAAATGAATACTGAAGCAGCCCTCAATATATATTATAATTGTTTAATAAAAATAAACTCAATAAGACAAGGCACCGCCAACATAGTAAATCTATAATCGTAATACAAGCAAATAAAAGTACTTTAATTTTAGTGTCCCTTATAATTTAAATATCGGATGAATGAATTAAAATAACAATATAATAAAATCAAAAGAAAACATAGAAAATGGGTAGTCAAACAGTCAAAACTGATTTGTTCAGTTTGTGAGTAGATAATACTGATGAAATGATAAGAACTTTTAAACACATTTTATTGTAAAGTTTGTACAATACGTGGTAGGTAAGAAAATTATTTTTAATAATAACTAGACAAATTACAATGACTGATGTTTAATTTTTAATTATATAATTTTATATTTTTTTTATTTTTATGGTATATTTTATGTTTTTTGGTTTTGAAACATGTAGGCCAAAAGGTAGGACAGTACAATTTTTGGTGGGCAATGGCTCATTTGTAGCTAAGTGCTTGACGAAATTTTATTGTAGTTGTTTAAAAAAAAACTAGAGATTAAATAATAGATCAATAAAATAATTCTATAAGATACATAGGTATTTTCTAATTTATTATATTTCATGTGTTATTATATTTCATGTGTGTGGAACATAAAGATCTATATAATAGGAGTATATTAAATGTATTTCAATTATTTATAAAATTTGAGTTGAATATTATTATTTGAATATTTACTCTTTAGATTCTTTTTTTGCACAAATATAGATTGTAGTGAAAACAAAGTTAGTGTTTTTTAAGGGAGGACAAACTTTTTTCAGTTTAACGCTAGGTTATTTCAACTATTTGTTTCATTTTTATATCATTAAAAGGTATAACGTTAAGTGAAAAATCCGTAAAACAAGTCAGCAATGCTTTAAAAAGTTAATAAACGGCCAAAGAAACCAAATATGCAAAATATATCAGACCTGTTTATCAAGTGGTATCTGAAATCTACCACAAATTTATGGTAATTAGATACAGCAATGTGGTTTCAGGAGGTAAGTTAATCCCCTCCTTCTCAGGGCGGAGCAAAATATTTCTAAAGTCCACAGTCTTCAGTCAGTGCTACGAAGGTTAAAAGCTCCCGTCACGTTGTCCGTTCAACTTTCAACTAACTTAATTAAGCTCGAAGCTTTCTCGTTGTTTCATGTCTCAGTGAACAATATTTAGTGAAGTTTAAAGTTGTTTGGTTATTTTTTGTTTGGTTTGTTATTGAGTTTAAGATTAACAAGAAACAACATTTTCAAAAACCGACAAAAGGGGTGAGTGATGTGTATAGTTTTTCATATGGTGTTTCTGCCAAGCACTTTTCCAAAAATTTATTTTTATTGAATTATCTACTAAAAACTTTGTGTTAAAATTAGGTAAGGTCAAAGTAGCTGAATTCAGCGTTAATTAATTCGCATTCTAAGATACTTAAAAAGCACTTAATTAAATTTTATTGATTTTGTATTTAAGTAAGTTTCTAATAACTGTTAGGTACACTTGATTTTTTTAAAGACTGGGCAAATACAAATAAGCACAATTGTACCTTAAAACTAGGTTACTTTGACATAGCTTGAGAACTTTTGTTAATGTAACTTTTTTTATTTGTTGCAATATTTTCATGAAAAAATTAGCATCAGAACAAATTGATCCTTCTGCTTTAACAAGCAAACTTAAAATTTTGCCTCAAGGTCATAGTTTTTTCAAAAGAAAAATAGAAAATTTTGTGTCAAAGAAACCCCGACTTTTCGGGGCTATTTTGACAACTCCCTTAATTACGTTGAAAATCAAAGTTATGTTAGCCTGGGGGGTACTTTGTCATATATGATATAAATATATGATATATGATGTAAATAAACTTTATTAAACTCATTAAACATAAAATATATATTTTATTTGTATTTTCTTAAAAAAAATTAAATAAGTCATTTATATGACTTTTATATCGCATAAAAATAAAATAAACATAATTTCGGTAGGTACCTATAGTGAAAATGAAACAAAATTAGTAGCCCCATAACGTGTCAAAGTAACCCCATTTTACGTTATTTAAAACTGTCTTGCAGAAAATGTTGCATATTATATCTAGAATGTGAAACAATCTGATATACCAAAATTAGTTTTTTTTACTTTCTTTTTCTACAAGTAATTAAAATTTTGTCAAATATATTTTTTTTTAAAAAACCTATAGTTAGTTTTTTAAAACACAGTTTTAACATATTATTTTAAGACTGTTATTTTGACAGTTATGTGACTATTATACGCATATAGCCAGTATAATACACGCTTTTTCTTGTTGTTGTCTTTATAACCTTAACAATACTTAAGTACACTCACGTGTGGGAAGAAGGAATTTTATTTCATTCCTTTTGTTTAAATAAAAATAAAAGTGCAATGAGTTACATATTGTCAGACTGTTTTGTTATCAGTAATGTAAAAATGTAGATATAACAATACCTATAACTCTTATTACAGAAATACACAGGGAATAAAAATCTGTGCCAACGGAAGACCTTATACTCACTTATCTATCTTGTTGATAATTTATATTGCATGATACATATAGAACAAAAAAATTATATTTTGAAAGAAGATAAGGACATCATATTTATGTTGCATTTATAGAAAACTACTACTTAAAATTTCTAATAAACATGTATATGATTTAAAATCCCAGCTGAAATATTATAGTTCTAATATTGCATCAATCTACTTATTTTCTTAAAAAGTTATTTACTGTGATTAAAATGTGTAATATTTAAAGCACTAGAATTAATTTTTTTAGAACAAAAAATATTGCTAGTTGAATAGTACAAGACTGATAAAGTATGATTGCAACTAAAAAAATAAACATTGAATTATACCCTGTGAAATCTTTTATTCTTTTGTTCTTGTATAACATCGGAATCTATTACAGCATTAAAGCCATTTTGATTGGTATAATTACAGTTTTGTAAAAAAAGATGAGGCAAAAATATTACAAACTAGTTAACAGACTAATACAGTGGGTGGAAAATTTATGGAATAATTTTATTAACACTGAAAATATTTTTGCTTTAACAGGTCAATTTTCTTTTTTAAAAATACACAATTTTCAATTTGATTTAAAATTTTACACTTTTCGGTTTTGTGAAAAATGACGTCATCGACTAATTTTTTTTGCCCATTCGATAGATCTTTTAATTGTCGAAATAACAACACCAAAATATTATTAAGTACCTATACCTACATAAAGTATTCGAAAAAAAATCACCAAAAAAGTGAAATAGTATCAACAAAAAACAAACATTGAATTTTAAATCAAGTTGAGAACTTTGTATTGACCTGTTCGAGCATTTTTGTCAAAACAAAAAAATATTCTCAGTTCTTGTTTATTAACAAAATATTTCCATGATTTTGCCGCTCATTGTATATTGTTTAAGCTAACAAGAATTGCATACAAAATGTACCCAGAATATGCGCTTGTTACTCGTTTCAATCTATTTTTGTAGGTTTACCTAGCTAATATACATACATATCCTACTCCTACTTCTCCTATTTATAAATTACATGAATGTTATCGACACTACACTGTTTTGTTCTTATTTATGTCAAATAGTCGCAATGTTACATTTACAGTTTTATATTAGTAGTAAAGCAAGCTTAATCCATATGCAAATATATAAAAAGTTGCTAATTAAAGAATTGCTTGACATCAAGTTGACATCACATGATTGATGACTATAATCCCACACTTAATTTACATTAAAAAAATATATAAGCGCGAAGAAAAGAGAAATTCTTTATTTTCGTTTTATGACAAATAAAAGACAAGTCCGACGGTTCAGTTTCAATAAAATTCGTTGACCGTTAGTCAACTTGGCGACGGCTCACTCACCGATACCCACCTTTTTTATAAAAAAAAGTCGCTCTTCGTGAATGTTGTCTCGTTTCTTATTGATGTAACCCTTTGACGATGGAATCCCTCCAGCATCCGACACATGTTCTGATCGCTATCACTGTCATCAGATAACCAGCAAAGCTAAATTGAGTGTGGGTTATTCCCTAATTATCTGCTTATTGACTCTGATAACATCGGGATATTAAATTTGTTGTGATTTGCATCAAATTACTTGAATTAATCAAATTCTATCATCACTTTTAATTTTAACATCAACGTTTTAGGATAACTCTTCGTTCGTTTTAATGAATATTATACTGTATTAAATTATAATTATTTTTTATTTGTCTCATACATAATTCTTATAGGTAATTATTATTTTTGTGTTGATGCTCTTATTTCTATACCTATGCATGTACCCACCAAAAACAGTTTTTTAATCAATTTTCTATGAACACTGCTTCTTCTCTTGGCACTGCGGCAAGGTGTTAACAGCAGCTTCTTGTTTAGGTTTTTCATTATAACTCCCAACAAATAGGAATTTATGATGGAAGAAATAAAAGGTGTCTTTCGTTGTTGTAGTTGTTGCTTTTGGATTCTGTTACCAGATTTTTCCATATGTATAACGTCGAAATTTAAATGAGAGAAATGTAAAATTTGGTTTTTTTAGAATAAATATAATTATTGCGTTATTGTATATCAAAATAAATTTTAATTTGAGAGCAAAACGTTGGTTACCCATTTTTTACGCTTAATTACGTTTGACTTTTGAATAAAACTAAGAGTTTCTTAAATCACAAAATAAGATTTTTTAATCAGTGCCTAAGCCTAATTTGAATGCAATCAGAAATACATTAATCATCATTGATGACCTGATTCGTAAAAAAATCATTTAATTTGATTTTTATGTCTTGGACATTTTTGGAAGAAAGGTTATATAAACTATGAAAAATTTAAAATTAGCTGTCGTTTCGCTAAAAATGTACAGACATGTACTTAAATAAACTTTGTAATTTGTAGAGGAACTTTAATATATAATATATATATAATAAATAACAATAAAAATACTACTTAAAGAAATAAAGACCTCTTCTGAAGAAATAAAATAGAATTAGCTGTAATTTATCTATCAACACAAAATCTATTTGTGATAGCATTGATGTACTATGCCTGACAAAAAATGAGACGCAAGGTCATTAAATGTGAAACGGCCCTTAATAGTTGTCCAGGCATTTTGACGTTTTAGAGGTTTTGAAAAGCAAATTTAATTTGACTGCTTCACAGTGAATCACAGTGAATTTTTTGAAAGTGTCAAATACCTATAATTTTTTATGCGGCATAGTACCGTATACTTCTACAGAAGATTTCAAAAAGTTATGCAATACCACACTGCGTTGCATTTATCCTGTATGCACGCAAATTTTCTAAATTAAAAAAGATTTTTGATAAATGTATGTAGTATCGTTGGACACAAAAACTGGAACAAACGTGACAATTGCACAAGGAAAAAATCTTGTAAATTAGGGTTTTTACAAAATAAAGTTATAAAAATTATGACATCCTAATGAGTAATGACATTTTGTCATAAACATTAAGTTAAAGTTCACATAAGACAAAAGGGTTAAACTGATTTTGAGTGGCAATAGTGACAACTCAAAAGCTTGACACAATGATCAAATTTTGGATGTCCTAGTTTTTTTATGTGCAAAGACTGGATATACCTGCTTATTACCAAATAATTACCGTGTGACTGTAAATGATTGTAATTTTTTACCTCAAGTTGGCGTCAAATTTAAAATTTCAGTTTGACAATCTTGACTTTTAAATTCAAACGTCAAAATTTTAAAGGCAATTGTTATTCATTTATAGATAACAAATTAGAAGGATTACCAATAATTCTACCTAGTATTTTATTAGTTCTTATGATTACATATTCAAAAAATTTTATAGTTTTTATAGTTTTTAATATTACAGTAACAAGTGAAAATAATTAATAGAAATGCATGTTAGTTGTAACAGAAGATAAATTTTGTTCATCTTATTGAAAGTTAATATACAATTAGTCTTAAATAGTTGTATAAATTTTTGTTATTTATAATTTGACGTTTGCATATCACAGCTGCTCAGCTGATAACTTATGAAAACACTCATCAAAACACTATCAAAAGTAGTTGAGTATAACGGCGTTTTGTTAAAAAAAAGTTAAATAAATGTTTCAATTTCACGTAACTTTATTTGTGTCGGTGGTTGGAGTTCATGTCGCCAGATGCTTTAAGATGCTTCACTTTCCTTGATCGAAGCCGACAAGACCCCAGAACTATTAAATTGCTTGGTACCATTTAATTAAGTTCACTCAAGTTGTCTCTAAGAACAGCGACCCTATTATAACTAATTTCA